AGCAAGTTCATCTTGTTTCCACTGAGCCTCTGACTTTAGCTCTTTGCCCCCTCCTGTGTTCATGCATGGAGATGAATTCCAGGTGTTGACACTTGTGAATGATGCTGCTATGAGCATAGAAGTGAATGATATTTTCACATTCTTCGGTTGAATTTCGAGGAGTGGTGTTACCGCATCATTTTTGTGTTTTGGACCTTTCTCCAGAGGAGCCACAGCAATTTACATTCCCACAAGCAATGTAGCAAGTTCCTGTTTTAAATAGAAGCGCTTTTAGATTCGTTCTTTGTGGATGGAAGGGATTCAACTAGGCAATTCTCTATACTCTCTGCTGGCTCCGTAAATGAACTTAGCACTGTAGCACTGTCCTCCCGTTATTCATAAATTTGCTCGAGCAGGCATCAGTAACGTCTCCACTGTGAGACTTGTTGGTACTGCTTTTGGCATATAGAATACACCACAGGAAGCTTGCCAGGCTCTGCTGTGCAGGCGGGATACTCTTGGTAGCTTACCGGGCTCTCCAAGAGGAACGGAGGAATCGAACCCTGGTCAGCCACATGCAAGGCAAACGCCCTACCCACTGTGCCATTGCTCCAGCCCTGTAAATGAACTAACTCTATTTACTCTATCAAAATTAAAGATTGATGCCGATGTTTTTGTTTATATATCTAGATCTTAATTATTCCAGATTAAAAAAAGAGAGAGTAAGGAAGGGTAATAATGTTCTCTTTTGCTGGTCTCTTGGTTCTCTAGGAAATACTAAACAACAACAAAAAATTGTCCCAGACTCTTGGCTTTATTTTTTTTTCCTCCAACAGCGTATGCAGTGCTCAACTTTAAGAGCTGGGACTATTCCCAGAAGGTCTGTACTAGTCTCAAACAAAATGGAGCACTCAAGGACTCAGCACTAAAAATATCTTATAAAAATGTTTCCTCCATGCACTCATTGGAACACGTAATTACTGTGGCAACAACAAACTAATTTGAAGTGTTAGCTGTTAATTAAAACAATGCAGAGGTGTATAGATGTCTTTCGGTGTAACCAGAGTCTCCATTCAAACTTCATTAATCACGTTTCACTTAATGTGTTGAGGAAGGTCAAAACAATTGAGAGGCAGTATCCATTGAGAGTAAACAAATTCCTTTTCTCCAGGTAGAATGCCTCTTGCAAATTTAAGGGACATACTCCACTCATACCTGCCATCGCCTTTGTCACACACAGCTCCTTGATGATTAAATGTGAAATTGGTACTGTCATTGCCCTGTAAACCAAACCGTGGGCATCTTTATTGCTCGAAATCGAACCCAAACTTCCACGGATGAATTAGCGTGCATCATGATTAAATCATCAAGCCTCCCCCTTTTAATTCACTTGGAAATCGGAGACCTTTCTTTTGGAAAAGAGATCAGCTTTCTTGACAAGCTAATTAAGTTGCCAAACAGTTCAGTATGATATATATTTGTTCAACACGCTACTATATATATATAATATTGTGTAAATATATATATGTATACACAATAGATGGTATATACTAGACTCAGTGCTAATCATTCTTTTTATCATTGTTCAAAGTTTAAAAAACATTCAGATGTCATCCAAAAAATTCAGGCGTTACTTGTTGTCCAGTGTAACTTCTTTTCACAAGTTTTGAATTCCTGTATATCCAACTATTTATATTCATACTTCAGTCCTTGATTAGTGATTCTGATATACAGAATTAAAGTTAATGTTGAAATAGAGGGGGCATGTAATTGGTATATAAGGGGGAAAATAATATATCGCAATTAAATCTTATGTATTATTCACTCATATATTCTTGGAACAAAGTTACTAAATTTCCTCATTTCACTTTCAAATTAGCTTAATCCAACAACTTCTGTCAAATTCTGAGGAAAAATGAGTGAAAGTTTTTGTATATCATTTTATATATGATAAAATGATATGTAAGTTTTTATATGTCACTTTATTCAGCTATATAATCAAATTTTGACCTGAAACATAGCTTCACATTGTAAAAAAAAAAAAGTTCATATATTAACATAGAAAGTAAGTGGTAAATTTGTCCTAAATATAGCATAATACTAGGGCTCCACTTACAAAAACACATATTTAGTTAAGGTATATATATATATATTTTTTTTTTAATTTCAAGGAATTCTGGAAAACCAACTTGATAAATTTGAAATAGTCTATAAATACTCGGGTAGCTGATAATAAGAAAAAATCTTTAGATACTTTTATAGAAACGAACATTTGCAAGTTATAATCTGCCCTTTTCTTAAATGAAGATATAGGAAGTCAGGCGCTTACCCTGTGCACGGCTCCCTCTGCCAGGGCTGTTTCAGATCCCCAGCACCACATGTGGTCCTTGAGCACCTCCAGGGCTCACTCCTGAGCAGTCAATGTGGCTCAGAGAAACAAAGAAAAATTGCATTACTAAAACAACAGAATTTCATCCTCTGTAACAGTGGGCTTCAGCTATCTGGTCTACAGCATTGTTTTATACCTGCTGGTCCATGGGCCAGTATGCAGGACAGGGGCAGGTTCGTAGGTGAGAAAAAGATTGAAGAATGCTGATAGATTCTTCAGCCACCCAACCCTCCATTTTACCTCAATAAAGATGTTCAATTTTTTTTGTCAGAGCACGCAAATATTCTGTCAGAGTCGCAAAAAAGTGATATTTTCATTTGACGACATATTTTTTTAAATTTTAGTTTGTTGGAGTTTTGTTGGAGTTTTGTTGGAGAGCCTGGCAAGCTACCGAGAGTATTTGATATGCCAGACACAGTAACAACAAAGTCTCCAATGGAGACGTTACTGGGCCCGCTCGAGCAAATCGACGATCAACGGGAGGGCCTTTACCTTTACCTTTACCTAGTTTGTTTTATTATTATTATTGTTTTTTTTCCACTAAAAAACATTTTATTTATTTTTTTCCAGACTTACACATTTTTGTGCTTGGGTTTCAATTATACAATGATCAAACACCCATCCCTCCACCAGTACGCATTTCCCACCACCACGGATCCCAGTATCCCTCCCACCCCCCTAGCCCCCATCCCACCCTGCCTCTGTGGCAGGGAATTTCCCTCTCTCTCCTTTTGAGTGCTGTGGTTTGCTAAAGAGGCATTGAGTGGCAATCATGTTTGGTCGATAGTCTACTTTCAGCATGCTTCTCCCATCCTGGGAGGATCTTCCCAACACCCTTTGTTTGGTGTTCCCATCTCTTTCTGAGCTCCCTTTTCCCCTAACATGTGTGGTTGGCCTCCAGGTCATTGAGTAAAATTCCTGGTACTAATCTCTGCCATTCTTGGGTGTTAGTTTCCTATTTTGTTACTTTATGTTCCCCAGATGAATGCAATCTTTCTATGTCTATCCCTTTCTTTCTGAGTCATTTCGCTTAACATGATACTTTCCATGTAGTACCACTTGTATGTAAATTTCATGACTTCATCTTTTCTAACAGCTACATAGTACTCCATTGTGTAAATGTACCAGAGTTTCTTTAACCAGTTGATGACATATATTTTGCTTTTTGTTTTTGCTTTTAGAAATTAGAACTTTTACTCTTGCTTACATTCAGCGTCCTGGTAAATATATTTTTTTGAGGTCAGGGGATTCTGGGAAAGCAAGCTTCCATCGCCTCCCTTCTTGTCCTGCCTGCCCCACACATACCTCAATATTTGCTGGGTGAGCAAAGAACAGCCCAATCTTGCTAATGTACAAAATATTTTCCACAATCAGATCAAAATATTTCCGTAGAAGAAAATTTTGAAAACTGTTGTGTCTCACCATGGGGACCTCAAGTCCTTGTCTAAGGGTTTACTAAACTCTTGTTGCAAGTTCAATCTCCTGTGTTAGTGTTTGTGTTAGTCAAGATTGTTTGGCTTCTGCAGTTTATCCTGTCCAATCTGGTGTGCTACTTCTGGGATGTCAGTGTTGTAGAGTTTGGAGATGTTGCTCCAGAAAATCTAGAATATTTAACAAGGCAGTTAACTGAGCTGCCAGGTTTTCTGAAAGTAGGGGAGATGTGGGAGGCCACGTAAACCAACTCTGACAAGGCCTGGCGTTTTCAGCCACAAAGAAAACTGAAATTTTCAGCGGATTAGGTTCTCTGTGGAGCTCAGTGCTGCGGTGGTGGAGTCTGGCTAGAGAGGGGCCTGGTGGCGGCTTTGGGTGGGGAGCGGCTGCCAGGGATTCACTAGGTTGGGTGGGAGCTGGCCAGCCTCTCTCATGAGATTGCCCTGGAAGTCTCAACTGGGAATGAAATTTTGCACTGTCCAAGAAATTTTTGTGGTTAGTTTTCTCATTTGAGATTTCATTATGAGTGTTTGGAACAAGGCTAGTAGATGAACTTATGTGGCAGTAGCGGTAGGATGTAGCCCTAAGAGACAGTTAAACACACTGCTCTGCCCATGGCCAGTGAAGACACACACACACACACACACACACACACACACACACACACACACACTCAGTGGCAGCCCATCATCACGGAGCTGGATCCCTAGGACCTGGTCTGAGACCGGATTCTGCCCTTTACCCTCTCCGTGCCACTGAGCTCCTTTAATTTAATTTTATTTTATTTTTGCTTTTTTGGGTCACACCCAGTAATGCTCCTGGCTCATGCACTCAGGAATTACTCCTGGCGGTGCCAGGGGACCATATGGGATACTGGGAATCGAACCTGGGTTGGCCGTGTGCAAGGCAAATGCCCTACCCATTGTGCTATTGCTCCAGCCCCACCGCTGAACGTTATGCTTCTGAATTCCTCTCTACTAGGAAGATTCTAGTATTTCCTTCAAGGTCTTTTTCATGGACAGTGAATCAAGGTAAACCATCAAAACCAAAGCTGTATATCCTGCTATTGTTAATGGTTTCTTGAAAGTTATTTCCATAACCTCTTGCTGTAGACGTTTTCTAGTTGACATTTGTGCCCTTACCCTTTATTAGGCTGTCTCACAATCCTGAGTGATTTTGTTATTTTTTTTTCTTCCCATAGAGCATATCATGTCCCAAGTGGGAAGATATTAGCTGTTAAGGTAAGTGCTGGATACATTTTAATGAAATCCTTGATTTGCCTCCTGTTAGCTTGGGTCAGGAGATGAAATAGTTTAAGGTTTGGATGGTAGGTGGTGGGGTCTGGGCCCTTCCTCTGATAGTTTTGTTGGGTCCTGGGGATTTCCTGTGAATGGGAGGTGGTAGACCCTGGAATATTCCCGTGATGGTAGGTAGTGGGCCATGGGTCCTTCCTGTGATGGAAGTGGTGGGTCCTGGAATATTCCTGTGATGGGTGGTGATGGGACCTGGCTTTCCTGTGACATCTGGGGTTCTGAAGGTGCTTCAAGTCTGCCACAGAATAGTTAGTCTTACATCTTCCCTGGGAGAATTGACCTCATTGTTACCTACAATGAGATAACAATGAGGTAGCCCCTTTCTTTTTGTATCCCCTTAAGTGGCCTCACTGGCTTCCTGTCTGGCAGCTCCAAGCCTTCGTAGTTATTCATCCTTTCCCTCTTCATCCTCCATCCTGGATGCTACCGTTTTCTGTGAGATAGTTCCCTGAAATGTGTCCACTCATTCCTTCCCCTCATTCCTTATCCTTGCCATGGCCTTGTACCAGGCGCGTTCCCTCACACCTGGACTTCTTCAGTCACCTCCGTACTGTACCTTCTGCTTTTTGCTTCTCCCATGTACCTCTTCTCTGCGAGCAGAGAATACCTGGAGTTCAGCTCTGACCACATCAGTGCTGTGATTTGCCCCTTCGTTCCCCCCGGGGAGTGGACCACACAAAGTCTTTGAGGCCTGCCTGCTTCTAACCCTTCCTGAGTTCGCTGCACACAGTAGTGCTGCAGCCCAGGGTGCGCTGATGTTGGGCTGCCCTTCATGCCCTCCAGAGCCCGTCCCTACTCAGAGAGCAGCGGTAATGCAGCCCTTTCCCCGTCTCCTGAGTGATTTGGTGGACATCCAAAGATGTCAGAACTCTGAGATTTTTGGTAATGGTGCAGCCAGAGACAACGTTAGGTTATTTACTCCGAGGGAGGAGGGCTGCTGTAAGTAAGTTGTTTGGTAGACTTACTGTTTGGCCTGCCAGGAACATGACCATTTTTCATAATTTCATGTATTTTATTAAGTATGTTTAACCTAGGTTAATACTAAGATTCTTTTTTTTTTCTTCCTCCTCTGGTTTTTGGGTCACAGTTGGTGGTGCTCAGGGCACCATGGAGTGCTGGGGATCAAACCCAGGTCCCCCACCTGCTAGGCAACGGCCCTGCCCGCTGTCCTGTCTCTCTAACCCCCTAACTTGAAATTATTATTCGGCCCGGCCCGGCCCTCCCGTTGATCATCGATTTGCTCGAGCAGGCCCAGTAACATCTCCATTGGAGACTTTGTTGTTACTGTGTCTGGCATATCGAATACGTCACGGGGAGCTTGCCAGGCTCTGCCGTGCGGGCGAGATACTCTCGGTAGCTTGCCAGGCTCTCCGAGAGGGGCGGAGGAATCGAACTCGGGTTGGCCATGTTGGCTGCGTGCAAGGCAAACGCCCTACCGCTGTGCTATGTGTGATTATTCGGTTAGGTGTGCCGAGGGGCTAATAGTTATTTCTGGAAAGGAGTATAAGCAATTTAAAAAAAAAAAACTTTTAGGGGTCATGGTAGTAGTACTGTGGGTAGCATACTTGCCTTATACACAGCTGATCTGGGTTCAATCCCCAGCACCCCATATGTTCTCCTGAGCCCAATGGGAGTGATTCCTGAGCACAGAGCCAGGAGTAAGCCTGAGCACCACCACGTGTAGCCCCAAAACAAATAACAACAACAAAAAAAAACCTTTTTTAGAGATTTGGGGCCAAGGCCACACCTAGTGCTCCCTGCTGTGGTGCAGACCTGATGTGGATGACACATGACACCTCGCCTTGCTCATCCGTGCTTGAGGAATCATTTGGGGCCAGGGAGTCAAACTCAGGGCCCAAATGTGCTCTATTACTTGAACTTTGTCTGTGGTCTACGAAAGGACACATTTATTCTACCTCCCCTTCCCCCAAGACATGTTGCTTGGTATGCTTTTTAAATTGCTTTTTATTAAATCACTGTGATTTGCAAAGTTATTCACAGTTGATTTTTAGACATACAGTATTGTAGCAGCGATCCCAGCACCAGTGTCAACTTCCCTCCACCAATATTTCCAGGTTCCCTCTCCTCCCCTGTCCCACCTCATCCCGCCAGCCCTCTTTCCAAGTTTGGTTGTGAAAGTTTGGGTTTCTTGATTTTGGTGTTGATGACTCTGTGTTTGGATACTTGGCTCTGTCATTCCTTAACACCTTTGTACCTGACTCCCCTGACCTGGTCCCTGTTGCTTCTCTCTATCTCTTCTCCCCTCCCTCTACTCTTTCCTTTCTTGTTCTCCCTATACTCTGGGACCAGAGTTGATCTGGGCATTCCCCCTTCAAACCATTACATCCTCTCACCCACTTACCCTAGATACCATAGGTGCATGATATTTGTGTTTATCCTTCTTCTCTGGCTTCCTTCATTTAACTTTATATTTTCCAGTATATCCATGTTGCAGTCAATTGCATGATTTCATCATTCCTTACAGCTGCATTATATTCCACATAAGGGGATCATGAAGATGTGGAATATATGCACAATGGAAGTGCACATTTATTCTTACTTTTTCTTTAAAATTAAAAAAAAATATTTACAGTGCTGTGATGTATAGTGCTATCAGTGATGTTTTTTGTTTCCGTGATTTTTAAATGAACAGCATCTGGAAAGTATCATGTTGAGTGAACTCAGCCAGAAGGAGGGGGGACGGATACAGAATGATCTCTCTCATATGTGTGATTATTGAAGAAACATAGGAAGGAAATAACAAGTTCCCAAAGACAACAGACAGAGCCTGAGAACTGGTTGACAGAACTGATTTTACCAATTGGGGGTGGCAGGGGTGGGGGGTGGGGGTGGGAGGTGGTGTAAGAAGAGGGGAGGCCCAGACTGGGGCAGAGGTTCGGGGGAGCATCTGCTCTGGAGTGGGTGTGTTGTTGGAACGCTGGATGCATGGAACCCTTCCAGGAACCATAATCATGGTGCCTAAAAATGGGGAGGGAAATTAATTTTTAATGCTGCTTCATGAAATAAAAGAAGGCACAAGGAAATGGAAACATATCCCCTGCTCATGGATTGGGAGAATTAACTTTGTCAAAATGGCAAGACTCCCCAAAGCATTATACAGATTCAATGCGTTCCCCATAAGGATACCTATGAAATTCTTCAAAGAAATTTTAAAAAGTTGAAACTTTGAATAAATCTAAACAGTATAGGGTTACAGGCATGCTATCATTAGACTGGACCAAGAAATTGAGCTTTAGAATAAGGACTGTAGCATAGCCAGAATCTGGAAAAAACCTGAATGCCCAAGAACAGATGACTGGTTAAAGAAACTTTGGTACATTTACACAATGGAGTACTATGTAGCTGTTAGAAAAGATGAAGTTATGAAATTTACATGCAAGTGGTACTACATGGAAAGTATCATGTTAAGCAAAATGACTCAGAAAGAAAGGGATAGACACAGAAAGATTGCATTCATCTGGGGAACATAAAGCAACAAAAAGGGAGAGTAACACCCAGGAATGGCTGAGATTAGTACCAGGAATTTTGCTCCATGAATGGAAGGCCAGCCACAGGCTCTAGGTGAAAAGGAAGCTCAGAAAGAGAAGAGAGTACCAAATGAAGGGTGTTGTGAGGGCCCTCCCAAGGTGGGAGAAGCATGCTAAAAGTAGTCGATAGACCAAACATGATTGCCACTCAAAGCCTCTCTTGCAAAACACAGTACCCAAAAGAAGAGAGAGAGAACAAGGGGGAATACCCTGCCACAGAGGCAGGATGGGACGGGGGCGGGGGGGGGGATGAGGGTTGGGGGGGGGGATGCTGGGACCCGTGGGGATGGATGACGGGCACTGGTGGAGGGATGGGCACTTGATCATTGTATAACTGAAACCCAAGCACAAAATTTGTAAGCCTATAACTGTACCTCATGGTTTTTCACTAAAAAAAAAAAAAAAAAAAAAAAAAAAATTGAGCACCTGTGTAGTGTTAAAAAGCATTCAAATAGAAGTTGATGAATTGGAAAAAAAAAAAAGAATAAGGACTGTAGCATATTTCATTTGATACCCTAAATTCCATAAAATTCTCTACTAGAGGTTCAAACGGAGTTTAATGCGTGATTTAAGAATAGAACTGAAGTAATAGTGGGTACTGGCCTTGCATGTAATTGGCCCCACAGACCTTACATGGCTGGACCCTGAACCCCACTTAGCATGGTCCCTGAACACTGTCAGCCATGGCCAAAAAAATAAATAAGCAAACAAAAGAGTAGATGTGATTGTTATATTTAAATCTTATTTGAATTGAACAAATAATTTAAGAGGAGGCATGGTTATTATATTTCAACTTAGTTTTGTTTTGTCCTGAACTTCTGGTCAACTAAAGCAAAAAATCTTTAGCTTATATAGTAATTTGTAATTGTAGAGGAAGAAGTGTATACCATTTCTTCAAAACAGCTTCCATTAAATCTTAAGTATGTGAACTTTCAAATATGTGGGAATTTCCATGTATTTTTCTGTTATTGATTTCTAATATTAAGTCCACTGTTATCAAATAACAGAGTTTGTATAACTAGGATTATTTCAAATTTATGGATATTTGCTTTATGGTCCAGAATATGAATTAATTTAGCATTTCCTCTGCATAGGAGAAGAATGTCTAATCTATTGTATGGGATATTGTCTAAATGTCAATTAGATTAAGTTTGCTGGTGGTAGTGGTCAATATTTTTATATCTTTACTGATTTTTATCTACTTACTCTATTATTAAAGGAGAGGTGTTGAAATCTTTAGTAATAATTAGTTATGGGCTTGTCTGTTTTTTCCATGCATTTCTTTCATAATTTTAAACTTCATTTTTGTGGAAGATCTATTAGGGGTACTTAGGATTGTTATATTCGCTACATGAATTGGCCCCTTTTTCAGTTTTAGTG